CTTTGGGAAACGCTTTGTATATGTAGTCTGATAAAACTACCAGCGCCAGACCAGCCCTACATTGTCGATGTACATTTGAGATCCGATGATTGAGAGTTATCTTTGTTTTGTAATTAAGGAAATAGAAAAACAACGGGAAGCACTTACATATACATACAGATGTCTGATGTGTAGCGGTCTTCAGCCCGATCCTCTGCCGTTGATTCATCTTCCATCTGACGGCCAAGGAAACCCATCAAAATCGTGCGCCAATGTTTTTCTAAACTTTCCAATCTTCACGCCTATGCTCCCGTGGTATCTGCTTATCCCGAATTAATTGCAACGAACCAAACCGACCACATCTAGGCGTCGTGCTCGCCGCTCCAGCTCTCCCCAAGCCACGCCGTTCTACCGCCTTCGTCTCCGTGCCTATTGCCTGTGGCCGTCACGTTTCTTTTTAAGAAAAAACTAAATCATGCTTCCCTGAATTTCACATGTACTACTATGGACAAGATGCGTGTTGCCCCTTTCATTGTCTTAACTTCAACGACTATGCATAAATCTTTTGTATCCCCATTAAAATAATTTGGTTCCACTATGTAGAAATTATGTTGAGATTGCATGAATATGATGCATCCAATTTGTCATGAGTCATTTTGTATCATACATGTTCTTCTTCACGGTGCAAGGTTTGCTTCATATGCACTATGCATCTTCACTGTCTACGGTTTGCTTCATGGGCTTCACAATTGTGCTTCTAGTTTGTGTTCCTTGCTTCATTTTCATGATTCATACTGTTCTGTAGGCGTCATGTTTGTATCCTAATCAAACTACTGATGCTTCGTACATTTCTGCAGGCCTAACAAGAGCAAGAAATCATGATTTGTCGACGATGAGCATGTCATGGCCATCGATGGTCGGCATTGCCTGGGACGTCAGATCGAGCATCTCAGTACCCAATGTTTTCACATAGTTTCGGAAGCAAACTAGCAAGGCACGAACTCACTTGTCGAAGGTTAAGGGCATTGTCCCCTCGATGGCGCCAGCCTTGCTGCTCCTCACCAAACTCTTATGGCTCGTCATGTCAACACCCGTAGATTTATTAAGGGACAAATGGAGGTCATTACCAGGCAGCAAGCCTGGTAAGCTACCTCAAAAAACAACAACCAGCGAAATGGAGGTCATCAAGTCCAAGTCAGACACAGTGGATGGAGTAGGGAGGGACTGGGATGGGACTGTAGCGGTGGTGCGACAAAGTAGGCAGAAAGTGTACAAGCTATGTACAAAGAAATTGAATTGCTAGTAAGCCAAACATTTGTAAACATAACACATGGATCCTACGAGCTGAAAAATAAAGCAAGCATACTACACGACATTACTTGGAGAGAAAAATGAGACTATGTATTATGAAGCATAGTTTGTAGTGTTCGAAGCATGGTTTTCATATGATGGAAGCAAATTCAGCACATTTCCATTTTTTGGAATCATCTCCTAATATGCTTGAAGAATGTGCTATGTGTACTGTGTATGCATGATATTGCTTATTTTTAATAGAAAGAAGACCTAATCAGGTAAGAGAAATCCTCTGATCTATTGAATTTTGTTCAATTAGGTACTAGAAAACTAATTTCTATTCACCGTAGCAAGTTTAATTCACCGTGGAAGCAAATTCATTGGTAAACGGAAGCATGTTTATTTCTGCATTATATTGGACGAAATTGTAAGCAGTCACACAGGACTCATGGAAGCAAATCTAACTAATAAAGGAATCAAGATCTGTTAATAAGGAAGCAAATAGCCTGAGGCGGAAAAAAAACAGAGAATCCGGATATTGGTTTCTGAGCTCGGGCTCAGATGCTCCCGAAATCTACACCACTAGCCCACATCTAGATCCGTGCTCCCCAGTGTATTTGCCAACCGTATATACACATATTAAGGGAAATCTTTGTTTCAAACCGACTGATGTTTGGCTCGCGTAAACCGTGTCGCGAGCCGTGCGATCGAAGCCGATCGTGCGGCGCTTTGTCTCACGCGCGTGCGTCACCTCTCCCACTACACGTGTAGAATGTGGGGCCCGCTCACCGCTCTCCATCCCAGCCTTATCATCTCCCATTCTCGTCTTCTTCATTCGTTCCCCATCCCCTCTCTCTCATTTTTCACAGGCTTGACAAGGAAGAGAGGGCCTCGATCCAATAGCTCGCCATTGTTGCTTCCAACCATGGGAGCCGGTGCACATCCCGCCGCAAGCACCAGCTGCTGCTGCAAGCTAAAGCACGACAGACGATGTTGCCGCAGGCGGGGAAAAGCTGCATGCTGCCGATCTGCAATGATGCGCTGCTTGTGCTTCAAGCAGGCTGCAGGAGCTGCAACGAGGGGCTCGTCGGTGCTGAGTCGTGGGGGCCACCGGTGCTGCGGTGCAACATCGCGGGGGTCGCCGCCTTGCCGGTGTTGCTATGCCGCATCGCCGGGCGGCAGGTGTTTCTATGTAGCGCGCGCCGGGGCCGCCGGGGCTGCAATGCAGCGTCGCCGGGGCCGCGGTGTTTCTATGTAGCGCCGTCAAGGATGCGATGCAGTGTCGCCGGGGCTGCCGGTGTTGCTATGCAGCGTCGCTCGAGCTGCATTGGAGTGCCGCCGGGTCATTAAAGCTGCTATGGGGATGGAACAGACTCCGTCGGGGCTGCAATGAAGCTTTCGTTGGAGCTGCAAGGAAGCTTTGTCGAAGGCGTCGCACTTGGTGTTGCCATGAAGCAGCCCCCGGTGGCTCCCGGTGCTCGCTGGCGGCTCCGTCCACCCGTAGCACTGGTGGTGTTGCAACGCAGCACGTCAGTGGCGTTCGCCGGAGTTCAGGAAGATGCTCCGGCTTGTGTCTCGGTGAGCGTACATGCAGCAGCAGTAGGCCAGATCGGACGTCTAGCTGATCTGTAGCAGCCGCCCATATTAAGTCTGACCTCGGGCGCGCAATTAATGCAATGGCATGTCGAACTGGGCACGCGGACAGACAAAGGTCGCACGGCTCAACCTTTAACTAAGCTGGCCTGGCCCGTGCACGGGGGCCAGACTCACAAACGGCAACCAGCCTGCGCCCATGTTAAATGCATCTCGCAGCCACATCCGATCCAACCACACGCAGAAAATATCAGGCTAGCCATAGTGGGGTAACTTAGGTAGTAACTTAACACATCTCAAAACAATTTTGTTTATGTGGCAAGTATTTAATGAAGGGAGAGATGCTTGGAGTAACATAAGGCTGGTCACAATGGGCAGGAACTTAGGAGTAACATCACACACTCCAATGCAACTTTGCTTATGTGGCACATATTCAATAAAGAGAGAGCTGCTTGTGGTAACTAGCTAAGTTACCGGAACATCACATACTCCAAGAAACAATGAGTCTATGACCTAATAAATACATCGTTGCGTGACACTACATACATGTTCCTACCCACTATGGAAGTAGTAACATAGTCTAGAGAAGTGTGTAGGTTACTAGTTTATGTTCCTGCCCATTGTGACCAGCCTAATATGTTACTGTAACATAGCGCTTCCCGAAGTAAAATGAGTCTATAAGGCAATAAATGAAACAAACTATGGCACTGCTACTAAGATACTTTACACTATGGGGATAGTAACTTAGACTAGTGTCATGCATATGACACTAGTCTAAGTTACTCCCCACTATAACCAGCCTCACCATCTCCTTCCTGCTCACATAGCTTGCAAATCTTGCGCCATGTCCGAGGCCCATGGACGCAGAGGCAGCTTACTATAAATGGAGACTGATAAGAAACGAAAGCCTTCTCGAACAACTAAAACATGTATTCCCTCTTTTCATTTATATAGGGTCTAATGCATTTTTCAAAACCGCCTTTGACTATTGACAAGATTAATATTACATGAGATGTATAATGTGAAAATTATATCATTGGAAACTCCTTTCACATACGAATTTGACCGTACACTTTGTGTAAGTTGCATGTCATATATTATTACTTTAACATTTAATCAACGTTAGTTTCCGAAAACACATTAGGCCCTGTATAGATGGAAGAAAGGAATAGATGATTAGAGTTAGCAGTCGTACATGAATCTCCACTCCACCGCCGGTGTCACCCACTTCAGACCTCCCTGTTGTGCCCCTCCTTGCCAATTCAGGAGAGTGTCGTGCCATCTTTGAGCATTCGCTATCCCCGCTACTTTTGTCCATTTGACCAACCATCATAGCTATATAATCTATTTTAACAAAGAAGTAAATAACTCGAGTCTCCCTCTGGGGGGTTGTTACGCGACCTATTCCAGACAAGGAGTCTGAGCCAGGAAGAAAACCGGGGAATCTAGATTCCATTGATGGTCAGGATAGCTCGGTTGGTATATCCTTAAAGATCTTAGTTCTTTCACGAACTATCAATATTGTAAAGTCAAGGTACTTGAATTCAGGAATTTCATTGACCTGGAACAAGAAGAATTCTCGCGACCGTGTCTGAGCCCTCTTTTCCAAATCTTGTACTTCTACAGATTATATAATTTATATCGATTCGAAAGAATCAAATCAGATGGTTTCATTTCTCAACCTTTCTGACTTGCTCCTACGGAACCAAGGTCGAAAGGATTGAAAAA